CCTTTTCTACTTTTGGGACTCCCATTATGCATATGTTGATACTTTTGATGATGTCCCAAAGGACCCTGAGGCCCTATACTTTTTATTTTTTTTCTACTCTTTGTTCTTCAGACTGGATAATGTCAGCCTATTTTCAAGTTTGCTGATTCTTTCTTTTTGTTCAAATCTGCTGTGAAACTTCTCTAGTGAATTCTTTATTATACTTCTTAATTCCAGAATTTCTATTTAGTTTTCTATTTAGCTCTCTATTGTAACTTACATATCTTTATTGATATTTTCTTTTTTGGTTAAGGCATCGTTCTTATATTTTCCTTTAGTTCTTTAGATATGGTTTACTTTAGTTCTTTGAACATATGACTTTTATGGCAGCTAATGATTTGACAGAGAATTCCTTGAATGCCTGAAATCAGTAAATCACCTTTCCTAGGGATTCCATGTGCATAGTGGGGCATGCCATGCCTTAGAACAGGCACTTGACAGCTCTGCCTTAGCCTTCATTTCTTGCCTTCACAGAGCCTTGGTGTCAGCCAGAAAGTGACAGCTTAGTTCTTCTCAGGTCTTTCCTGTGCATGCACATAGCCCTGAAACCTCTATAGATGTTTCATTCCTTGGCTTTTCCTTTTAAACATTTTGGTTAGCCTTTTGTTTGTCCACCTCAGGCAACCACAATCATAAACATTACCTTGGGTTTTTGTGTTTTTTCCCCCAACAAGTTCCCCCAGTGAAAAGGCTGTTTGCACTTGGTAAGCTCTGCATCGGGTCAAGTAAAGGCAGCAATGCAAGTGGGGAACCAACAGACGGGTCAATGAATGACAGTTCTCTTGGGGTGGGTCTTGGTGGCTCCCCAGTCTGCTCCTCCAGTGTCTGCCAGACTCTTGGTTTCCACTGTGATGTGGGCTATTGCTGTTCCAGTCTACTGTGGAGCTGGGGAGGTGGGGATAGGATTAGGGCAAGCACAAATGCTACAAAGCTGTCTGTTCTTCCTGAGAGTCCGCCATTTTTCTTGAGTAAATGCTCTCTAGACTGCTGCAATCCTTTGGCTAATTTCCAGATTCAGAAATAGTTGGTTCTGACAATTTCTTCCAGTATTCACATTGCTTTTATGGAAGAGAGGCTTTTCAGATATCCTTAATCCTCCACTTTTGCTGGCGTCGCTTGCGTTGGATTTTTGTATGTTTTACTCTATAACTATTTGTATTGTTTTTCCTGATTCTGGGGTGTTCACATTCTTTCAGTTTCATTAAGTGCTTGACATTATGTGGCACTTGGCATACATTGTTTTATTTTACTTCTACATTGCCACCACCACCACTACTAATACTGCTGATAATATAGTGTGTTCTGTTAACACCCTATGTTTCCTAATGTGAATTAGCTCTTACGCAATTGTTATCAGGGAATGATGTCACTATGGTATAAATCAAATTAGTTCTTATATATAAGAACTTATATTTTCCTTCATACGAAGAGCCAGAATAGTGGGAATAGAAGAAATAACCTTCAGCAGAAAAGGGGAAAAATCCCTCAGTTTGAGTCTTGACTGCTGCAAGAGCCCTTTGGTTTTATTTTAAGAAAATTAAAAAACACACCGGCATCGAGGATCCCTCCCTAGGGAGGTGCAGCCCTCAGCCTGTGGCAGGTTGCATTGCCTCAGCAACCCACTGCCTCAGAGCTCCGCTTCCACCTGCATGGTCTCAGCACGTTCCTACCCCAATCTAATTAAATGTTGCATGTGTTTCTGTTCTATTGCTTTAATTCATTTTTTATATCCTCTATACTGCTAGTCTCCTGCTACACTGAGTTACCTGCTTGAATAAAACAAGTTACCTCCCCCGATGCAATTGTATTATTATTAAATATATCATTTCCAAAGAAGCATAGGTTTTTGTGATTTTTGTTTGTTTTAGTGCTAACATTCTATGAGTGTTTCTAGGTGTGAGTTTTTAGGAAAAATTTATGTTTCATAAGGCCTAGAAAAAGACCTCCATATGAATAAATTTAGTATGATACAGTAGAAAGCAATAGGAGGCTTTGAAATCAGATCTGAGTGTGTTTGGATTTTGGCTCTGCAATTTAATAGCTATGTGACGTTGGCTTAGTTAAGTCTCAAGTTTCTTATTTGTTAAGTGGGGATAACAGAGTGGTTGTGAGGCTACCATGAAATAGTGTGTGTGTGTGTGTGTGTGTGTGTGTGTGTGTATAAATGTCCTTACACAGGTGCTCCACAAATGTTGGATTTTTTCTTTTTCAGTTCCTAGTGTTTACAAACTTGAAGGATGATGGCTCTGAGCTGTCTGTGGTTGTGAGCTATTCTCTGTCCAAGCCTGCTCTGATCTACTCATTCCCTAATAGTATTTTTTAAAAATAGCTTTATTGAGATGTATTTCACATATCATAAAATTCACCTATTTAAAGTATACAATTCAGTGGTTTTTAGTGTGTTCACAGAATTGTGCAACCATCCTCACAACCTAATTTTTAGAACATTTTCAACACACCAGAAAGAAACCCCATACCTATTAGCAGCCGTTTCACATTCCCCAAGGCACAGGTTTTGAGTTTTCTATCCCAACCCTTTTTCCCTAAAGCCCTGTAATTTTTAGTGTGCCCCATTTGTAGAATGCACATGTTATGTTAAGATAAATGCTTATATTACATAATCTAGGCTTTTGCCCCCATCACTGATAGTGTTCTTTCTGAGGTCACCATGACTTTCTAATTGCCAAATTAAACTAACACTTTTTGGTTCTTATTTGCTCCTTTTGTGACATTTGCACTAATGGCTGTTGTTTCTTCGTTGACACTCTTTTCTCCCTTGGTTAAAAGTCTTTCTCTCATAGCCTCTTTCTCTACTTGTTTGACCTCAGTCTACTCAACTGGTCCATCTTCTTTAAATGTGGGTGTTCCCAAAGGTTCTATCTATAGCCTTCCTCTTCTAGTGCAGGATGAGATCATTTTTCCATATTTTTACATGATACCATTTTAAATATCTTTGTTCAGTTCCTGTTAGCAATTTGCTGTCCCTTTGGGAATTAAATAAAGTATACCTATTTCTTTACCTCTAACAACTTTAGGTTTTCCTTTTTAAACTTATTTTTATAATAAGTGGTATTTGTGTGTCTTAATAACTATAAGTTATTACAGTTTGTGGGGTTTAGAGTTGTTAGCTAGGCTAATTGCCAGGTGATCATGTTCTGTTTATACTTCCTCTATTCCTGTTTCCTGATTCATTTTTTTCCATTGAACACTAGCTGTTCCCATGTGGATGTTTGTATGTGATATATATTTTGGAAATTAAAACTTTACCTATCTTTTCAGTCACAATTTTTTATGGGCCACTTTTTGCCTCAACTTTTTTTTTTTAATAAATTATTTCAAAAAATGTATTTCTAATGAAATCTGCTTACTTGACAGAAGTAATATTTGTCATGATCTATTTTTCAAAAATATTTGTCAGGCCCTTGCAAGAACGTCTCCTGGATTGCTACACAATAACACAAAAAGGAAAATATTTTGTTTCCCATTTCTAACAGGGTGTAGAGAAAACAGGAAATGAGAGAAAGGTGAATAAAGAAATTTTATAGTGATCCTTTTCAAGAACTTGAAATCCAGGATTTAAAGTAAATCTTTTTTATTAGGGAAATTTATTACTTTTGTAGTTAAGGGATGGCTTTTAGTTTTAATTGAATTTAATTCTGTACTTTATTTTATCATAAATTTTGGATTTTTAAAGATACTGAATGAAGGTCTGCAACCCTGGGCATAAGGTCTATGATCACTCATCCCACCCAACATTACTATCGCTACTTTACCCTAACAATAAAAGTAGATGGGGTCTCAGAATTGTGGTAGGCCTTAAATCAGGGATCCTCAAACTTTTTAAACGGGGCCAGGTCACTGTCCCTCAGACCATTGGAGTGCCATTGGAGAGTGTGGGTGCACATTCCACACATGCGCACTGTGGGCCCAAGACGAGTCGGCTGCTAAGCAGGACAGGCAGTGGCAGCAAAAACACCCGGCGGGCCACAGTTTGAGGACCCCTGCCTTAGGTTTATGTGTCCGACTTTCCTCACTAATCTTTTCCTTCTCCCACTCTTCATACTGAGTATTTTTAGTCACTTTGTCTAATCAAGGTGTCCAATGGAAAGGAATTGGCACCTTGACAACATTTCTATACTTGTTGTATAAAGCCTTTATTTAAATGTTTAATTGGTTATGAGTTTCAACAAACATTCTTTTCTTTTTTGTTTGCCTAAATAAGTACAAATAAGCAAGTTAACCGTGCTCATTTCTTGGTGCTTATGTATGCTTTCCAAGTACTTGGAGTATATTCTTCAGGTTGTATGGCATATCTGTAATTCCACTGTTGTAACTCTAACTTCACAAACTAGGAGGTATATTTTTCTCTCCTTTCATGTCTGTCATGTCGAAGTAAATTATTTTGGCCCTTGCTGTGCCTTCCTACAAGTTGTAAAGCTTCAAATGTATTACCACCCACTAATCAACGAGTGTGTACTGTGGCCATGAAGAGTGTGGAAGCGTAGTGGCACACTCTCAAGTCAGAACACAGTCACTCATCCAGGGAGAGGACTGCTGATTTCCATTGCTGTCGTTAAGCGGTTTAACCTGTAAAAAGGGGCTATGAAATCAGAATTTCAGAGTAATTATCTCAGCACAGAGACAGCTGTTGAGGTATTTTCTGGTCACTAGTGTATACCTGAATATACTTTTTACTGAAGTATTCTTTGAGATATATTCCAAGGCATTGTTCATGCGGATGCCTTTTGTTTTTAGTTTATCTGCCATGTGGAGTGGTAAGAACTTAATTTGAGTGGAGGTTAGGATCCCAACTATGTACTGCTTGTGGGCACTTCTAGGTTCTTTTTGCCCAGAAGCCATTACCATTATTTTGTTGTGGTGCAAGATGTTAACCTCCCCCCCCCCCAGCCCCTTTTTTTCTTTTCAAATCATCTGTAAACCAGCTGATATTCTCTTTCTAGATGTCCTGGAGCTTCTCATCGGAGGGTTGCCCTGGAGAGAAGGAAAACTAGTAAAACTCAGACAGAGAACGAGAATGAAAATGGACCCACTATACTGGATCCTCCCGGTACTTTGTCAACAGAAACAGACTGTGCGGGCACAGGCACAGTGCCTCCCGAGCGCCACTTGACATCAGCCTCTCTTCCCTCATGGACTGAGGAGCCTGGCCTTGACAACCCTGCCTTCGAGGAGAATGCTGGAGCCGACAGTAAGTGCAGTGAAACTTCTTATATAGTTCCTCTGTTTCCTTCCTTCCCACTACTCTCCCAGCATGCACTTTTTTCCTCTTTAAAAAAAATTTCAGTGACATATAATTTATATACCCCATCATTCACCCTTTTCCATGTACAATGCTAATAGTTTGCATTTTAGAAACAAAACTGAAACTTACCCTGGAGAGAGCAGTCCTTCCCCATCCCTTTTCTGTTGCAGTCTGTGAGCTCAACTAGTCATTCACATGGTTCTTATTGTCTGTGCATGTTCAGAAACTTGTTTGCTTCATGACATAAGAAATCAACATCAAGAACAAGAACAAAAATAATAGCTCAAATTAAGTGTAATAATAACTCTGTGTCAGGCACTGTATTAAACACTTTTACATGTATTACTAATTAGATTCTTCGTAACAGCATTATGAAAGAGATATGTATTTTTAACAAGAAAACTGAGACTTGAGAGGTCAAGCTTGAGACTTAATTGGTCAAGCTTATGTAGCCAGTAAATGGCTGGTTATATATTTGACTCCAAGACCTTTCTTCTAACCATGTCATACCTCTGGTACCAGCCACTGCTATAACTGTACAACCCACTGGGAAATGAACAGGAGGCCTGTAGTCATGGATCTTGGGCATATGTTGGTAGCTGACCCTTCATATTTACTTTTTAAAATGTTTTTTTCCCCAAACTACTACAAATGCAAATTTTCATTCCCACAGCTATAAGCCTTTTTCATTTCCTAAGGCTCCATTCAAGACCTACCTCTTCTTAGAAGCTTGATACTTTCTCAACACCTGTGGTGTTTACATGCCACAGAGCTAGTGTTTCCTTTATACTGCCTTGCATTATTTACACTGTTTCATGATCCAGACTTTCATCAGTTGGGACTAGATAACTTTCTTTTAATATTTCTTAATCATATCGCTATGTCATCTCTAGCTATCTGATATGTAGTAGGCTATTATTTACTAATCACTTTTGGAAGAAGGAATTTTTAGATAATCTTAACGTATAGATTTTTTTGTCATTGCTTAGTATTTGTATTACTTAGTTATTATCTGTTAAGATGATGTATTTACCTAAAGATAATCAGAATATATAAATCGATGTTTTTCTTTTTATCTATTTTTCTCTCTCTCATTTTTAACTTGACAGCTACACAACAACCACTTAGTTTACCAGAAGGAGAAATCACCACTATTGAAATTCATCGGTCCAATCCTTACATTCAGTTAGGAATCAGCATTGTGGGTGGCAATGAGACGCCACTGATTAACATTGTTATCCAGGAAGTCTATCGGGATGGGGTCATCGCCAGAGATGGGAGGCTCCTCGCTGGAGACCAGATTCTTCAGGTATCAGTTTTAATGATTTTGTTAGCTTATACCTTTTTGTTCTTATTCATACATTTAGAACTTAGAAAATTGTGCTATTATGGAACCTGAATTATATGTAGGTTAGTTTTGCTGTTTTTATATACAAAACAGATGAGAATATATCTGTAGTTTGTCCTATTTTTCCCATATACATGGAATATATTCTCTCTACCTAAATTTTCAATCCTACATGTGGCTTGGCACATGATACTCAGGCTCCCTGGACTAGCTAGACTCTTCCTGGCTTGGAGCCCTGGCCATTCCAGGGCTGCTTTTATCCATGCTGAAATTCTCTTATCCCATTGGCTTTGTTTCATGGCCCGTTTTCCCATCCATTACCTTCATTGTCTGGTTTATCCTTCTCTACACTGATTACTAAAATCTAGAAAAGAACCATGCAGCACTAGTTATTTATCATTTATGCCACAGAATTTAAGGCAGAGTTCAGAAATGTTACAGTCATCTCTTATTGACTCCCTAACGCACTGTCCTCAGCAAACATTTTAACTCTGTGTCTTCAGTAAAACCTGATGCTGTTCCTTGCTGTCTTCCCTTTCAAATGATCTTGAAGAAGAAATAGATATTCTCAAAAGGGAACTAGCGTGGGACAAGATATTGTATTAGAGGGCATGTTGAGGCACTGAGGGCAGGGGGACAGTAAGAATTTTGTGTAAGACCGGAGTTTATGTGACATTTGAATCATACAAGGGTGATAATAATTGAAGTTTTAAAAAATGGATAACTTTTAGAAGGAGAGAGAAGTATTCGTGAATAGGAACAAATGTCTTCTAGGAACCCAGAAACAAAGACTATTTCCTTTTTGGATTCGTTCAGTCTTTTACCATGATCTGTTGATATCCACCCCTTACTTCCATTTTCCCTGCCACCTCTTGAGTATAGGCCTTAACTACTTTTATCTAATCTAGCAGAATACCCCATCAAATATCCTTGCCTCCAGCTCTCCTCCCTTAAATCTGATATAATCACTAAGAGGTTAACATATCTGTCACCTCACTTTCCTTGAAAAGATTGGACTAGATGGTTAAGCCCAGACTAATTAATCCAGTAGACAGGGCCCTTTGTGGTCTCTTATACAACCTGTCTTCTTAACTCTTTCTTTTATTTCAAATGAATCAGTTTGTTCATTTATTATGATGTTCTATGTACTGTACTAGTTGCTTGGGTTACATTTAAGAGCAAAATACTGTCCTGTCCTCATGGAATGTACAATCTAGTAGAAGAGCCAGACATAGCAATCTTCTTGCTTCCCTGAAAATAACTATTTCTACATTCTAACCTGTTCTTATCTTGTGTTTCACCTTTTATCCTTAAAGCTTTGTTCAACCATTCTCACCCATACTGATCCCTCCTACTTCAATTACTGTTAGCATTCGTTGCTTTTCTCTTCGTCACCTGGCACACGATCACTTATAATAAATTGTTTGACATTTGGATATAACATGCTGTTGGGAATAGCCATCTTCTTTATTAATACAGAATTTGGAACCTTTAGGATTTTTAGCTCTTGAAAGGCATTCCCAATCTCCCGATGTCGAGGTTGGCGGGAGGCCACAAGGGCAGCCAGGATGACCTTTCCTTTGGGTTTTCTTGGCTTCGGTTTCCACTGCCACTTGCATGCTGTCTCTCATGGTGTCTTATTCCCACTTTAACACCCAGGCCCCAAACCCTTCCTTCATTGTCTCTAGTGTGGCTGAGACAGACTGAACTTTCAGTGTTTTTTTTTACTAAATACTGAGAAAAAATATTGAAAAAATACTGAGAAACATAACTAATACAACTTACATAAAACCAGGTTTCTGATCCTGTCAAGCTAGCTGTTGACTCTGTCCTAGCTGTCATTTTATGATATTAGTACTCTAGCTGCACAGGCTGGCACAACTTTGAGGACACCTTACCTGTATTCCTTACTTCCTAGCTCCTGACCTGATTCTTCATGGAGGAACCCTACAGCTGGTTTCCTAGGTGCATCCTCCCAGACATCTTGACACCTTGGCGGTCAAGACCAGGAGAGCCAGATTGCCCTTTCTGCAGCCCACCTAGTGTTCTTTCTCTCTCCCACTTCTGGCCTTTCTGGCTGTAAATTAAGGGTACACTTATTTTTATCTTTGTTCTTTGCTAGTAGCAATGCACCAGTATTGGGTATTACCATTTTTATACATTTCTCATTCTTTTTCTAAATTTTAAAGGTAAAAACAAATACTTTGTTTTTATTTGTTTCATGTATTTTTTTTTTTTTTTTTTTGAGACAGAATCTCACTTTGTTGCTCAGTCTAGAGTGAGTGCCGTGATGTCAGCCTAGCTCACAGCAACCTCAAACTCCTGGGCTCAAGCAGTCCTTCTGCCTCAGCCTCCTGAATAGCTGGGACTACAGGCATGCGCCTGCCCGGCTAATTTTTTCTATATCTATTAGTTAGCCAATTAATTTCTTTCTATTTATAGTAGAGACGGGGTCTTGCTCTTGCTCAGGCTGGTTTCGAACTCCTGACCTCAAGCAATCTGCCCACCTTAGCCTCCCAGAGTGCTAGGATTACAGGCGTGAGCCGCTGCACCTGGCCTATTTGTATTTCTTTGAATATAACTGAGTTTAGTTTGTCAAGTTTTGTTTACTAATATATTTTATCTCTGGGCTTTCTTCTGTTTTGGAGAAGTCACGTAACTGAATCTTTATACCTCAAATAAAATTTTAATTATCTAAAGTTATTGACCATGTTTTGGGGTTAATGCCCCAAAGTTATAACCTAAAGTTATAAAATCTATCATGTAGAAATCCCAGTGCATTATTATTGTTTATGGAGACATATATACTAATACTCTAATAATAGCAATCTTAAATCTAGTTTAATGATTCAAACTGATAAGAAATGTCTGAGCATATAACCTGATTGATAAATTCACGAAGGGTCCCTCCTATTGTAGGCCCTGACTTCTGGTTGGCTTTTAACTGGTATGTTGGAGCCAGTAAGGAATGCCACACTCCTTTCCCAAACGTGGGGACGAACTTATGGTCATCCGAAAGTAAACACTTGCAAAGAGGCCTGTTTGGTATTTTTACTACCTGGTTACTTCTAACTTTATATAAGCTGGATGAGTAGTACAGTGAACCAACTTGAAAATTCCTAAGAGACAGTAAGAGTTCATTTGCATACCAGAAAGCTAGCCTGTGCTTTTATGTTAGCAAACCATATGCAATAACAGCGTGTGGCTTTGGTTTTCCCACGTTAAAAAAAAATACATATATTTATACACACACATATTATTCTATTAAACAGCCTGTTTGAAAAGGAGAACCATATGCTCTCAGGGCCTTTTGCTACTCTTCAGAGATTCATATGCAGCCTTTTGACCAGTTTTGAAGAAAAAATACTGCTGTTGTAAGTTACATTGGTGTCATTATTAAAAGTAATAAAAGGTTTAGAACATTATTAAGAATAGGTATTTTCAGTTTGATCAGTCATCAATAATTTAGGCATTTTCAGTTTTGAAGGAAAATAATTACAGCCATTTGTTGATTGCATTGATAAAAAACACATTTAGCTCAAGAAATGTGGTAGAGTTGACTTGTGCTGATGCTATTTTTACAAAATCTAGCAACAGTATTTTATTCGATCTCTACGTTCTCCAAATTTCACTGGCGACCATGCATTCGTGGAGGAAAATTCTTTTTCCATTTGTAGGATAATCCCCCACCTACTTCACAAAGGTGATGGGAGGCTAGTTGCTTGCACATGGCTGGAAAGTGTAGCTGCATTTCAGCCAGACATTTCATAAAGTCATTTGTGATGCATGTGGTATGTCTGAATATAAGATGGAAAAATGTGATCCTAGAGGTAGGTAGCTTTTTAGACAAATAGCCAGAAATGATGATTTTGACTAATGAACCTATGTCAGCCTGGTTTTTTAGAAGCTGCCTTCTAAACCAAACTTTAGAAGTTTTTTTTCTTGACCCTATATTCAACAGTTTTATCAAGGATTTGGGTGACTACCAAATGCATAGATATTTCAAACTTGGGAGAAGTACAAGTTTGTGTGTGACATCTATGAATTTGACTGAATTTTAAAAGATATAAATAGACCCAAATCAACAAAATGCAAATTAGTGGTATTCAAAACTGTCAATCCTAAATAAATAAGAAGAGGGAGGCCTTGTTTAACATGGATTTGTATGAAAAAGATTTAAGGATTTAGGTGATCACAAACACCTAATCCAGAGCCTATCACATAACAGATGTTCAGAGAATGTTGGTTTCATCTCAGACTGATTCAGAGAGGAACTTTAATTGTGATAAATGCTAAGAATTATGCTCATCTCTTCTTGTACTAAATGAGTAATTGAAGCTGGGTATATTTTCTAAGTGATGTTACACGTCCAAGGATTAGTCGCTATACTTATTTCAAGATTATAAAGTTTAATTAGTAAATGTTATATGAGTATTGAATTATGCTTAATGTATTAGATATATATTATATACTAATATACCATTATATACTACTTATATACTTAAGAATTAGAATGAAATTATAATTATCTGCTTTTCTTTAAAGGTCACTTATCTGAAGTAAGGTTGTGGACCTGGAATATGCCACTTTCCTTAAAATAAAACTCAATTTATTTTCTCTAGCTTTGCATTTGGAAAAGCAAATTTGTAATCCAGTAGAACTTTGGTATCTATGGTACTAGAACTAGTATTTCATTAGCACTTGCCATATGTTGATGTTGTCTATTCACTTTCATACTGATCCCATGAAGTTGATAATAAACACATTTTACAGATGAGGAAACACATTCAAATGAATCCTGTAATTTGCCTGAGGTTACCAGTTAGTAAGTGGCAGAACCAATGACTGTTAACTCAAGACTGTTATTAAAGCCTGTGATCCTAACTAGTATTCTCCCCTTGATGCTAATCATTGTAAGTTAATTATACAAACTCTATATTTTAAAATGTCTTTAGCATGGTTTTCTTTGTAAATAATGATTGTATAGCCTTTTCATAATTTTAATGTCCTTTGGGAATGTTATGTAAACATTTCTACAAATTGGGAAAATAAAGGATTGTCACACTTTGGTCATAATTCTTTTCTTCTAGGTCAACAACTATGATATCAGCAATGTGTCCCATAACTATGCCAGAGCTGTTCTTTCCCAGCCCTGCAACACACTGCATCTCACTGTGCTTCGAGAGCGGCGCTTTGGCAACCGGGCATACAACCATTGTGATGGTAGCTCTCCGCGAGAAGAGATCTTCCACGTGGTTCTTCATAAACGGGATTCTGGTGAACAGCTTGGCATTAAATTAGTCCGAAGGACAGATGAGCCAGGTGTTTTTATTCTTGACCTGTTGGAAGGAGGGCTGGCTGCCCAGGACGGGAGGCTCAACAGCAATGACCGAGTGCTGGCCATCAACGGGCATGACCTGAAGCATGGAACGCCGGAGCTGGCTGCCCAGATTATCCAGGTGAACGCCTCTTGGCCTTCCTTCCAAAGACTTAGCCTTAATTACCGTATAGCATTGTTTGTTTTCATTGGCACATAACATCAGAATTCAGGAGACATTTTACATTTCATCAGAAAAATCAGGCATGGCTAACTAAATTCTTCAAAATCCATACTACTATACTTAGTTATAGATAAAGTCTTTTGTAAAACCTGTATCCCCATGAACTTTTGGGCTGGCTATTTATAGAGCGTAGGCTCTACCGTTTCATATTTGTTTCTCTTGATCTTCGGGTTCCACCTATTAAGCCAGGTGGTGGTGTCTACCTTTAACAAGTGAGGCTCGGAGGAGCTGTGATTTCCAAATTTGTGACTTAACCTGGTCTCTTAACTCACCATCAGGATCCATATAAGTAGGAGAAAAATAATTTTTTATTAAGAATAATTCTTTTCTCTATAGTGCTTTTTTTTAAAAGGAATCAAAGTATTTAAAACACATCATAAAATTTATCCTTACAGTATCCTTGTGAAGTTAAGGGTAGTCATTATTAGAGGAAAAAACATGTTTTCATTACAAGCATGAAGACAGATAAATTGGAAAAATCATTCAGAGAAGATATACAAGTTCTGCAACATGCCACGGCATTTAATAATACAGGCAATCTTCTACAGTGATAAGGTTGAAGCAGAAAGGTGTTTTTCTTAAAGGAAACACAACAAAACACTATGAAGGAAACCAATCATATTTAATTGAACATGAGGAATTAAGGTAGGTTGATAGGCACTGAAAAATGTGTTTACAACACAATTAAATAATAAAGAAAATTTAAGACTATAAGAAAAGCCAAGCCTCCACCCCCTTTATTAGATGTAGGTATTGGTCTCATTTCATAGGCTTGAGGTCTAAAAAAATTAGATGCTTTAAAATTTCCTCAGGTCAGAGACAACCTTCGAACCTATACCTGTGGATGTCAGCCAGCTGCACTGCTGACAACTAGTTCATCTTGTAAGAGCGGAGATTGGTTGGAGGATGGGAGAGAAAAGGAGGAGGAAGAAGAAAGCTGATAGAGTTACAGGATTTGTTTCAGGAAATAAGAGTCAAGTGGACTTTATGAAATGAGAGATCAAGTCAATAAAATAGAAAGAAATAAACTGACTATATATATTTCAGGTAATGTTTAAGTACACTAATTCCTAAATAGTTGGTCCTCACTAAATTTCTAACCAAAATGTAGAAAATATAGATACACAGGTAGAAAATATATTTAAAATTTTCCATGATAATATTTGGATTTTTATAAATAGTTGCATCATATTTTGTGCTTTAATTTTCCCCAGACTATGGAAAAAACTAAAGTTGTTCAATTTGTTTCTTTTTGGAAAGAAAAGTGTCATTATTTTTGGGTTATTAAAAATAACATGTACTCTATGTCTAAAAATGAAAATAATAAAGAAAAAAATATGGAATATAAAGAAGGAAATTACAATCACATTCAGTCTAAATACCCCAAGATATCAACATTAGTGTTTTAGAGAATAGCATTCCAAACATTTTTTACATATGTGTTCACAGATGTATAATTGCATATTAACACAAATGGTTATACATCCACTCGTCTTGTAAATTCTGAGTTTGTAGCTTTTTCTTTACACCTGCAATGTGTTGTGGCCATCTTACCATGAAAATAAGCATAGACTCACATTTTAAGTTTTAATAGCTGTTTAGTAGACATGTACCATTACTTATTTAATCATTCCCCCATCAGCAGACTTTTATGTTTTGTTTTCAAGTTTAAAGTGTTTTGTTAACTTCCCTCCAAAAAGATCATGCCCATTTATACTCCTATAATAGGGCATACCACTCACTCACAAATTATGAGTGCTATCATTTGGGCCTTCTGCATTTTTTAAACATTGATTTTAACAAAACTCTCTTTGCTAAGTTTAAAACCCTGAATGAAGTGTTGCATGTACAGTCTAAAACTCATCTAAACCCAAACGTTGGTCCATCATTTGAATTCTAATGCCCATTTCCCTCACATTCACAGAATTTTGTCTTTCAAGCAACCTTGAAAGATTAAGAATTTGGTTCCATTAATAGGTTTGTGTAAGCAGGAGTATTACAGTAATGTTAAAATACTAATTATGGAGTTTTGGGGGTTATAAGGTGTTGAACAGTAGTGAAAATGATTCTGTACATTGAAATAAAATCCCAAAGAGAGCTTCTCACCCCTTCACACAGTGTAATCTAATAATCTGAAGTGTCAGAATTTTAAATATTGGGATTCTAAACTTTCTACCTTGGTATTTACCCTTTAGGTCTAGTCTCCAGACTCTGTTTTGAGAGTTCAGCTGAATGTTAAGGGTTGTTACTTAAGAAAGAGAGTGTGTGAGTGTGCGAGTGTGTGTGTTTGTCAGCCACAGACATTTTAAAACGTTAGCTAATGAAATGAACTCATTCCTCCCCACCACCAGGTGCTTGCAGTCACTGCCCAGATGAGGCCCTGGTGCAATGATTGAGAAATGCATTGAAGATTACACTGCCTGTAATCTTTAAAATGACAAACATCATTAATGACTGGTGGTGATGTATGTGTGTTTACTCCAGGCCAGTGGAGAAAGGGTGAATTTAGCAATTGCCAGACCAGGGAAACCCCAGCCTACTAATACCATTCGAGAAGGGGGAACTCACAGCAGCAGCCAGCACCATGCACAGCCGCTGTACCACAGCAGACCGAGCTCACACAAGGTGAGGATCTTTTTCTTTTTTATATTGATGCCACTCACAAACAGTCATTGGTATAAGCTGATAAGATCTAAATGAAGGTGCTTTTTTCCCCCTTTTTTGACAGAGTCTCGCTCAGTCACCCCAGGTAGAGAGTACAGTGGTGTGATCACAGCTAACTGCAACCTCCAACTCCTGGGCTTATGTGATCCTCCTGCCTCAGCCTTCTGAATAGCTGGGACTACAGGCACACACCATGGCACCTGGCTAATTTTTCTATTTTTAGTAGAGACAGGGTTTCACTCTTGCTCAGGCTGGTCTCCAACCTCTAAGCTCAAACAGTCCTCCTGCCTCATCTTCCTAGAGTGCTAAGATTATAGGCATGAGCCACCTCGCCCAGCCTAAATGAAGGCTTTTTTAAAAAATATACCTCAGTAAAACAGTTTATAAAAAAAGATTTAAATGAAGGCTGATGTTTTGTTCGAAAAGGTGAACATAATTGCTTGGGATGTGAAATGTATATGTTTTGCTATCTTTGAGAGTGACTGCATGTCTCAGTTCCTCAGCCATTAGAGAGAGTTTCTTGGCAGGGAAGGTTCCTCTGCCAGATGATTGATGAGAAGTGTGTGATCTTCCAGAAAAATCTCCTATTTGATTAATCCTACTTGAAAGTGGAATTTTTCTTGGGTTGCTTATTTAACTGTTTTTTTTTTTTTTGTTTTTTTTTGAGACAGAGTCTCACTTTGTTGCCCAGGCTAGAGTGAGTGCCGTGGCGTCAGCCTAGCTCACAGCAACCTCAAACTCCTGGGCTCGAGTGATCCTTCTGCCTCAGCCTCCCGGGTAGCTGGGACTACAGGCATGCGCCACCATGCCCGGCTAATTTTTTATATATATATCAGTTGGCCAATTAATTTCTTTCTATTTATAGTAGAAACGGGGTCTCGCTCTTGCTCAGGCTGGTTTTGAACTCCTGACCTTGAGCAATCCGCCCGCCTCGGCCTCCCAAGAGCTAGGATTACAGGCGTGAGCCACAGCGCCCGGCCTGCTTATTTAACTGTTAAGAGTTGGTTATATTGAAAGGAGTTGGTTATATTGAAAAAGCGTAATATAGATCAACAAGTCTATACTTAGAAATTGGGCACGTTGCCTACAAAAACACAATTAGATATGTGATTATTAAACATGTGAATCATGAATTTTGGTAGGTTTCATGTATAGCTTATTTCTTTTTATGTTATATCTTAGAGGAACATTACCCTAAATCATTTTAAAATAAATCATTTTAAATTACCATATGTTGAGCTTTGGTACTGTTTCTTCAGAATCAGTATTTTACTGGTTTTATAATATATTCCAAGTTCGTTTATCTGTGCTGAGAATGTTGATGCTATCTCGCTTTCATTCCTAAAATCAGAAAAGATTGCACTTTAGCATTCTGGATATTATTTGCTTAATTTGATCCCTCATTTGAACTCAACTTCCAGTAGGCCAAGAATTTTAAAATGATGACATGATGTTTACCCAATTATGTGAAAATTTGGGCTACACGTAAGCTTTCAAAGTAATTTTCCTTAAGTAAAAATTAAATTGCTTTACTAAAGAAAAACTTGTTTATTGGTCAACTGAAAAATCATAGGACTTTTCCTCTTTGCTCAAGTAACCTTTTAATGTAAGTACAACATTTAAGAAAGTGATTACCTTTGGGCTCTGTCCCTGGTACCCTAAGAAAGCGTAGCTTAAAGACACAGTATTTTTGGCCCATCAGACCATCAGGTATGTCTGGTTTTCTGAGTTTAAAATACTGTACAGACTTGTCAATGGTCTTTGGTTTAGTTAATACTTAAAAGAAATTATAATCACAGACTTTGTTCTCATTCCTGGACAAAAACCAAAATGTATGAAGAAAACCTATAATTTGGCCTTTATATTGATAACTATGAAAAAGGAGTAATTGTTTTGAATAGGAGTTGTTTAATATAGAGCTAATCCTTACTTTATAAGATATATATATGCACACATATATATACAAAGAATTCTAATATAAAGCAAAGGTTAATCATTGAATCTTTCACGTTATTGAATTTTATAATTATTTGAGATATGGGTGTCTGTGACAACATTTATAGTTTTAAGGGTGTTTTTAAAACTGTACTTAATCATTCCAGTATTTATATAGAGACATCTGCTTATTTACTGATTTGTTTTGGGCACCTGTATTTTTTTGTCAAAAGTCTGCTAACTTTCATTCTCTTTAATTTTAAGTGATAGTGTTTAAAATAGCAATGTTGAATTTATTCCTATTCCAGGTACTGTGCAAACCTGGCTGGATAGAACAACCACATGGAATGTAGTGTTTTAATTTGGCTATTTACTACTAACATGCTTCATTTCTTATGTCAAATCTTGATTTAGAAAAGTAAAGTTCTCCTAGGGGAGGCAAAAACACTTGAATTCACCAAAACAGCCTGTTCAGATGATTAATGATTGTGAAAAATTAAAGTATACATTAGTCTTCTACCAAGCTTCTTAGTAGCTGCTTGGATAAACATTGATATGATATTAGAAAGTTTATTGAAGCATACTGAGTATAATCTTTGAAGTTTGGTTTGGTGCCTGAGGAAAAGTTGCATACATTTTAGCCATCTAGTGTAATAAAACAACCACTCTTAATTGGTTAAATACCTAAGGGCTGAAACTGCTTAAATAAATATACTCAAGGCTAAGTTTACCTGAGCTGTCTTCATAATAAAGTCATTTTTGCCCAGTTTTGAAGGATACTAACATAAATTTCATACCTTTATATAGAAGACTGCCTTAAGATATTTACAGGTTTTTCTAATCGGTCATAACATTTTCTAGGAATGCTATGCTGCTATTACAAATAGTTCCTTTGACAAAATTTCAAGAGTACATGGATTCCAGGTCTAGAGAGGGGTAGGTAGGCCTGGAATTCCAGGGACTGATTTAGAGATTTGGCAAATACCATCATAAACAGTTAAGTACATATCAATTCTTTAAAATAATGTCATTTAAGGAAATGTTATAATTCTATAAATATAATTCATATATTTTTGATAATGTTAATTATCTTATTATCTACAGCATTCTCTTAACAGCTGATAAATGTTAGAACCTTTGGAGACATTAACTTCCACTGTTACACTTAATGGGATGGTTCCTGTGTGGGTGCATATATAAACTGTGTACATATAGTGTACCACACTGTATGTGCAGATATACATAGTATTGTATTACTATATAACATGCGTACTCTTAACACACAAAAGTTCAAATCTAGGAGGGGCGCAGTGGCTCACGCCTGTAATCCTAGCACTCTGGGAGGCTGAGGTGGGCGGATTGCTCGAGATCAGGAGTTCAAAAAAACCAGCCTGAGCGAGACCCCATCTCTACTATAAATAGAAAGAAATTAATTGGCCAAATAATATATATAGGAAAAAAATTAGCCGGGGATGGTGGCACATGCCTGTAGTCCCAGCTACTCGGGAGGCTGAGGCAGCAGGATTGCTTGAGCCCAGGAATCTGAGGTTGCTGTGAGCGAGGCTGATGCCACGGCACTCACTCTAGCCTGGGCAACAAAGCGAGACTCTGTCTCAAAAAAAAAAAAAAGTTCAAATCCCAGTACAGTAACCTATCATTACATGATTTAGGGCAAGTTACATGACCTCCCTAAGCTTGTTTCCTCATCTGAAAATGGGGTCAATAATATTAATAGCATTTACTTTTAGAACTATTGTGAAGATTAAATGAAGTAATGCTTGTGAAGCCATTAGCTTTGCATACACTAAGCGTTAATAAGTGTTAATCATTATTATTATTATTTTAATAATATTGTATATGTGTACCTTGCTTTTTTACTGAGTTCCAATTCAAATTAGAAGTAATGTTTTAAATGCTTTGTCTTACTTCCAAGAGTGTCTCAATAATAAATAGCAGAAACAAATGTCAGTAAAAATAGCTTTTTCCTGAGAATAATAGTTTATTAGAATTTACTTCCATGTCATTAACTTTTTTATAAATTCAGTTATTTCATGTCCTTCTAGGTTTTCCTGAAGGTTTGGCAGGTAGGTTTGTACCTGTTTCATGAGCACTTATAATCCTAGTCAATAGGAGTCAGAAGATAGGTCTGTAGCTTTTTTTTGACCACGCTTTATTTTTATACTACTCTGTCGACTTTTCTTTCAAAGAATTGGGGAGAAAGATGGAAGTAAAATTAAAAAGTAAAATTAATTAACTTTCCTTTAGAATCTTAAAACTCAACAGCATTATTTACTTTTATACAATTAGTCATATCTTAGAGCTCAAGATAATTGTATAAATTATGTGCTTATGTTAACCTTAACTGCTATATGTCAGCAGTCCTGAGTTTTTTTCAGTTACATAATCATATGAAAATAATGTCCAGAATTGGACATCGATCCACAGTATGCTCCTTAAGAACCGTGTATTACTTTTAGTTGTTAGAGATTAAAAAAATCACTTTGTAAGTGCCACGTGAGTTATTACCTTAGTTTAAGCTATCTTTACTTCAGCTATCTATCATTCATTATCTAATAAGTTTTTTCCTTTTATGTTCTAGGATCTTACTCAGTGTGTTACATGCCAAGAAAAACACATTACTGTAAAGAAAGAACCACACGAGTCCCTTGGAATGACGGTTGCTGGGGGTAGAGGCAGTAAGAGTGGGGAACTGCCCATCTTTGTGACCAGCGTGCCACCCCATGGCTGCCTCGCCCGGGATGGCAGAATCAAGAGAGGTAAGACGGGATCATGAACAACTTCACCACATCTCCTTTCTGAATTAAACTCACATTTTTAAAAATAAAGAGTATTGACAAAGTATCTATTGAATATGAGTATTTTTAGTCCTTTAAACTGTCCCTTGCATATGAAAGCATAAAGTCTTTCTATAATGTTAGAAAAATGCCCAATATAAAAGAAAACTTTTGAACCTTGGGAATGTTTCCAGAATTTGCTAACAGTTACTCAGACTGTTAGATTATTTTATCTTGGGAAACACCCTCTAAAAGATGTATGCTTTTAGCATTATGATAGACTTAGATACTCTGAAGGGCCATCTTACTAAACTATAAATGTTGCTTATAATGAAGTGTCTATGTAGAAAGGGGCTCAGAGAGGAGGTGGAGCAGAGGACAAACTTAATTTTAGGGATAAAGTCATTCACCATTTCACATTCCGTATCAATACTATATAATGTGCATAGGTTGGGGAACAATTAGCTGCTATTACCATGGTAAAAATAGCAGTCTCTATTGACTTAGTTTGTTCATAAGGAAAGAAAAGTGAGTCTTAAAAGTTATTTTTCCAAGAATGAAATTGAACCCCTACCTCACACCATATATACAAATTAAGTCATAATGGATTCAAAACCTAAATGTAAGAGCTAAAACTCTTAGGAAAAAAAACCACAGGCATAAATCCTCATGACCTTGAATTAGGCAGTGGTTTCTTAGATATGACACTAAAAATACAAGCAACAAAAGAAAAAAATACATAAACTGGACTTAAAACTTACAACCTTTTGTGCTGCAAATGATACCACTAAAAAAGTAAAAAGATAACCTACAGAACGGGAGAAAATATTTGCAAATTATATATATGACAGATGACTTGTATCTAGAATATATTAAGAATTCTTACGACTCAATAATAAAAAAGACAGATAATCCAACTTAAAGATGGGGAAAGAGTCTGAATAGACATTTCTCCAAAGAAGATAAGCAAATGGCCAGAGCCCCTGCCCCGCACCTGTGCACTGGTGACCTTTGCAGGTCACTGGCTGTGAGGCTCTGGTGCAGTCTGAGCAGGTGGTCCAATTACCAAGATGCTTCAGAGCATTATTAAAAATATCTGGATCCTCATGAAGCCCTACTGTACTCAAGTTTGCCAGATTTGGATAGGAATGGGGTTGATGAGCATCATCATTTACAACACCAGGAGTGCTGATGAAAGAAGTAAAGCTTTGAAAGCTCCTGCGCCTACTCATGGGCATCGCTAACCAGCTTCACTTGGAGTATGCATGAGATGAAATGTCAGTTGCCTGTAAGTGTAAGCAGGCCGTGCTAGGTAGGAGCATAGAGCATGGAACATCACTGTGTACTTGTATAAGTATGGTTTACTCTGTGGCAAGAACAAATGTATCTGTGAGATGCACCACCTACCCGAGACTGCTTTCACTGTGTCCCCCTTTCCGCTCCCTCCGTTGTGCTGGGTGTACTCTGAGTAGATAATCTGTAATACAGCAGATGCGATCAGAATCTCACTGAGCCGTCCATCTTTATAAAACCCTAGGAACTGAAGAGTATCTCTGTTGTCATAGCAGTTGGTGATCATGATCTAGAAACACTCACTCAGATTCTACTGCTCAATAGATGTTTGTTAAACATGAAAAAAAAAAAAAGGCCAGTAACTACATGAAAAGATGTTTAATGTCATTGGTTATTAGGGAAGTACAAATCAAAACACAGTGAGATACTACTTCACACCCATCGGGATAACCACAGATAATAACAAACATCAGCGAGTATGTTGAGAAATCGAAACCCTCATACATTGCTAGTAGAAATATAAAATGATAAAACTATTTAAGAAAACAGTTTGGCGGTTTCTCAGAGTTAAACTGAGTTATCATATGACCCAGCAATTCTGCTCCTAGAGAAATGAAAATGTCTGTCCACACAAAAACTTGAGTGCCAATACTTAGAGCAGCATTATTCACAAAAGCCAGAAAATGGAAACAACTCAAATGTCCATCAACTAATGAATGGATGAACAGACTGTGGTCCGTCCATAAAACGAAATGTTATCTGGCCATAAAAAGGAATGTAGTACTGACACAAGCTACAATATGGATAAAGCTTGAAAACATTATACCAAGTGAAAGAAGCCAGACGCAGAAAACATCTTATTCCATTTACATGAAATGTCTAGAATAGGCAAATCTATAGAGACAGAAAATGGATTAGTGGCTGCTTAGGGTTGGGGGAAGGGTAGTGACTCCTAATGGGTACAGGGCTTTGGGGTGGGGATGTGATAGAAATGTTCTAAAAATTATTGTGATGTTCATGCAACTCTGAATATACTAAAAACTATAAAATTGTATGCTTTAAATGGGCGAATTACATGGCATGTGAATTATATCTCAGTAAAGCTGCTATTAAGAAAAGGTTATTTTTCCAATTGTTGTATTTGGGGTCATTTTGTCTCCTTGTTATTATGTTTTCTAAGTTTTCTACAATGACACTATTCTGTTTTAATAATCTGAAAAGTAGGTGATAAACTGGGAGGGGGGATTTTCTGTAAAGTTTGTCACACAAATGTCTGCTTCCTACAAAACTAATGGTTTCCTTCCTAACCTTCTATATAATCCTCATTGCACTTCTTTGTTATATCAGTTGGCAGAGCAGCACTCCTTTTCTTGTTCAAGCAAGGAAGATGTCCAAATCACAAGCTTCATTTCTTTGTGTGGGCATAAGGTGTCCTCTCTGTACATAATCTGATGTGTTTGCCCTGAGTGAACTATGCGGGGCTGTCTGTATGTCATAGAACTGTGTCGATATAAAATAGAATATATTAAAAATTCATTTCTAAGAGCAAAGGAGCAAATAATTTTTGAATTGCAAAGAACTGCAGAAATCTCTGAAGCTCAAAGAAGAGAAATGAACCTGCCCAGGGCTGTACACAGCTAAACTGGGACTAATGATTTGCACTTCCAGTTGTATCAAGATGCCGCAAGCCACATTTTTTTTTATATATATTATGACATTATTTAAAATTTGTGAATTATTTGGGAATGTTTTCTAACTACTGGATTTTTCCTTAGTGTTATAAAAATTACAAAGAAGTAAAAAATGCTCTTTCACCTTATCTGAGTTACTGAAACTAACCTTTGTTGATTAGTTTACAAATAGCAGGATTTGCAGGGAAATGATCACTTGGCAGCTCAGCTCGTTTTTCTTGACTCTTCGTTTGAGCAGGTGATGTGCTGCTGAATATCAATGGCATTGATCTGACCAATTTAAGCCACAGCGAGGCTGTGGCCGTGCTGAAAGCCAGCGCTGCCTCCCCTGCTGTTGCCCTTAAAGCACTCGAGGTCCAGATTGTGGAGGAGGTGACTCAGACCACAGAAGAGCAGCCAAGTACTTTCAGCGAAAACGAGTATGATGCTAGCTGGTCCCCATCGTGGGTCATGTGGCTTGGGCTCCCAAGGTACTGATAGCTTTTTTGTTGTTTTATGGAATAATCATATGTGCAGCCTTTATCAGTATGTAACAGTAAATTTCCCACTAGGAGAAGGCTTTAATGAAATAAAAGCAACATCAAATCAAATGACAAAAGAAAGTGGTAATTTTTCTTAAAGCATTACTTTATTTATTTATTTATTTAAGATAGAGTCTCACTCTGTTGCCCGGGCTAGAGTGCCGTGGCATCAGCCTAGCTCACAGCAACCTCAGATTCCTGGGCTCAAGCAATCCTCCTGCCTCAGCCTCCCGAGTAGCTGGGACTACAGGCGTGCGCCACCATGCCTGGCTAATTTTTTTCTATATATATTTTTAGTTGGCCAATTAATTTCTTTCTAGTAGAGTTGGGGTCCCGCTCTTGCTCAGACTGGTTTCGAGCTCCTGACCTTGAGCGATCCGCCCGCCTCAGCCTCCCAGAGTGCTAGGATTACAGGCGTGAGCCACTGCACCCGGCCAAAGCATTACATTTTAAAAGGTAGAGTTAACGTAAAAAACTAAGCTATAAAGACTTATGTCTGTTTATGCCGTGTTCCCTAGTCCCCAGGCCATGGCCTGGTACCCGTCCGTGGCCTGTTAGGAACTGGGCTGCGCAGAAGGAGGTGAGCAACCAGCAAAGCTTCATCAGTATTTGTGGCCACCCCCATAGCTTGCATCACTGCCTGAGCTCCGCCTCCTGTCAGATCAACAAAGCTTCATCTGTATTTACAGCTGCTCCCCTTGGTTCCATCGCCACATAGGCTCCGCCTTCTGTCAGATCAGCAGTGGCATTAGATTATTATAAGAGCATGAACCCTACTGTAAACTGCGCATGCGGGGGATCTAGGTTGCGTGCTCCTTATGAGAATCCAGTCCCCAATGATTGATCTAAAATGGAGCTGAGGGGTGATGTTAGCGCTGGGGAGCAGCTGTGAATACAGATTATCGTTAGAGAGGTTTGACTGCACAGAGACCATAATAAATCAGTTGCTTGCAGACTCACACCAAAACCATATTGTGAATGGCAAGTGACAGGCTGCATCTGGTGGCAGACTTTATGGTGGCAAGTGAGCATCTGACCTGCCCCTCCCCCGGCGTCCATGGAAAAATTGTCTTCCTTGAAACCAGTCCCTGATGCAGAAAGGTTGGGGGCTGCTGTGTTTATAAAAACAAAGAAAGCAAATCCATCCATTCCTACTAAGGATTGATCATATAAGTGGCCCAGCCACGAGATTGGATATTCCAGTCTCTTAACTCAGAACAGCTGTCATTTACCAACATTGATTCTGATGGATGCTTAGACTTCACATGCATTTTTCACAGAAAACCCAAGCTAATCCTGGGGCCCTGCCCCATCCCAGAAGCCTCTATAAAAGCCTGCCTTATCTTTTTAACTCTCCCTAAAAAGACAGAATTTTAAACTCAGCTTTTATTGGACACAAGAGTCTTTAAGCCAAACCACTGGTGTTCAAGAGCAGCTGCTCTACCGTTACAAAGAGTTTGTTGCTTCCCACCTGACTGTGCGACTAGCCAAGACATTCTGTGGTTGTTCGGTGTCAGGGTCCCAGAAGCACGTGGACCTCCGGTGGCATCCCAGGGTGCATTCCTTCTTCTAGTCGGGTGGTTGTTGTGTTGTTTGGTATTGAGATAGGAAAAATGTGTATTACTGTCATTATTTGTTCCCAAATCAGTTTAGATTCTTACTATATATAAGAATCCTAAAATTGAACTATGATGAAGCATTTTGACTCTTGACCAAGGATGAAAATTACTGATTCTTTAAAATAAAAATAAACAATATGAATGTGCCAACTTCTGAGCCATCTGACTCACGTGGAATAAATTTATAATAACAGCCAGCATTATGTAAAGTGATTTGTGGTTTATAAAGTTCTTTCACATAAGCAATAACGGAAAAAAAGCAAGGATATCATTGGATTTCATTTGTTAATAACCTAATGTGCTGACTGGTTCTCTTGGTTAAAAAAAAATTAAAAGGCCTAAAACTATTATAGAATTCTTGTCTCTCAGACCTATAGGTGCTTTGTCGAGAGACAGATTATTTTTAAGATAAAGATGATTTAGCTGCTTGAAATATGTTTATTTCATACACCAAGGCAGATTAATTTTTCCCATTGAAAAGTTGCCCCATCCAAGAGGTCTTTCTAAAAGCCCTTTCTTATCAGTGAGCTAAGAAACTAGATGAGATTAGAAGTTCTGGCATACTGTATGTTGCTTTACGGATTGGCTTTATTAAGAAATCTTTTTTTATGGATTAAAAATGGGAAAGCTTGATGCCTGTAGATCCAGTTTTACCTAAAAATGAGAGCTACTTCTTTATTAAAAGAGATATTTTTGCTATATATCATTTAGGGGTTTTTTGTTTGTTTGTTTTATTTTTTTTTTAAGTTTTTACTCACTGCTTGTTTCCCAAGTCCATAGAGCTATGGAAATGTAAGTAGATTTTTTTTCTCCCTCCCTGGACAACATCCTCCAAACTGGCTAAGTAGCATTTTAACTGTAGCTTCACAATGTCCATGATATAGAAAGGAAAAGAAAAAATATTTTTTGTTAGTGTTTTCCAGATTGACTTTTCTGTTTTGGCAATTAGAGCATCTCTTAAAATGAAAGCATTCTAAGTGAATGAGGAAGAGCAACAAATAACCACTCATGTAGGTTAAAAGTAGGACCCCTGGGGTATGCCTTCAAGAAAGGGAGTAATTATCTGCTTTCTTTTTGAAAGCTACACTCCTGGTCATTTTCTTCTGTCATTTGAGTCCTGAGTTCAGCAGTACTAAACCTCTTGCATTCTACTTTGTAATTACTCTTGAAGATACAGATGATTATTAGAATTGAGGTCTTTGTTGACAATGCATTGAGCAGATATAGATACATAACCTTTTCGTGCAGATTCCTGAGGTGTGACTTGTAACCAAGTTTGTGTAAGTTCTGTACATGTGTGTATGTATATATGTCTTCACTTGGGAAGAGAGGACTAAAAAAAAGTTGGATAAATTCAAGTCTACCTAGGACTGTATCTGTGCTAGAAAAATGGGTTGTCAAAATAATCTGTTCAGAAGGAAATAAAATAGCCTTTTTCCTTTTTATTGTGAGAGTGATAAAAGTATAACATGGTATGGGGTTATAGCAAAGATGAAGCAGGCTATGAAAGCCTACAGGTTAATTTTTTTCTTTATTTTTGTGTTTGTTTATAGTGCCCTTCATAGCTGCCATGATATAGTTTTACGAAGAAGCTACTTGGGAAGTTGGGGCTTTAGTATTGTTGGTGGCTATGAAGAGAACCACACCAATCAGCCTTTCTTCATTAAAACTATTGTCTTAGGAACTCCTGCTTATTATGATGGAAGATTAAAGTGAGTCTTGTTCTAATTAATGATGTGATTCATGTTTATTATGCTGGACATGATTTAGATCAGAGGTCGGCACCAAATCCAGTCCTCTGTTTTTGTAAATAAAGTTTTATTGCAACACAGCCAAGCTCATTTATTTATGTACCATCTATGGCTACTTCCACTCTATAGTGGCAGTATTGAGTCATCGTGATAAAGACTGGGTGGTTCTTAAAGCCTAAAATATTTACCATCCATCTGAACCTTTATAGAAAAAGTCTGCTGACCCCTAATCTAGACTAAAGCATTACATTTACTATCTTGTCACTTATATTTTATTAATCTAATGATAGGCACTGAATCAGCGTCATTTGATTGGACATATTGTGATGTGACAGTGAGCTCTGAGCAAGTTTCCCACACAACCTATGCAGGTCCAGTCCTGTATTAGATGACTATGCTTAATTTTTCTGCACAGCACTCATTTCTCCCTGATATTGTATTTATGCAGGCTCCATGTCTTGTTGCATTTATTGTTATACCCCTAGCAGTCATAACAGCACCTCACATATAGTAAGATCTCAATAAATATTTGATAAATGAATGTATGAGAGCTTAACAGTGTGCCAGGTGCACTGGTAAGTGCTGTGCCTGCATTATTTAATCTTCTTAACCTTAGGAGGTAAGTGTCATTATTATTCCTGTTTTACAAACAAGATAGTTGAGGCTTGGGAAAGTTAAGAAACTTGCCCAAGATGAAATAGCTGATAGTGGTTGACTGGCATTTAAACCCAGGACTGCCTGGCTCCAGGGCCCTGGCCTTTTAACCCCTTGCAGACTGCCACCACTGGGCAGAAAGTACTCGCTCAACCAGTGTGCAGCCTCTTTTTCAAAGCTTAGGCACTAAGAGAAGAAAGAAAAGGTGTCATGTCAAGAGATTATCATCAGAAAAGAAGACAGTTGATTCCAAGTTCTTAGTGGTTAGTTTATGATGAAAGAACCAGTTCTTAAAAAGTAAATGTTGACATACTAGACAGAATGCTGCATAAATGGAGAATTTGCACTGTTCGCAAAGAGAAAGTGGCATCTAAATAGTATTGTGAAAAGGTGATCAGGATTAGTATGCTCCAGGTCAATCTATATTGATAAAGGTGGAAAACAATTATTTTAGGAGGAAAAGAGTAGGAGAAAATGAGTTAATTGTTCTCTTAGCTGAGTTACTCAACCAGTCTAGGCCTCAGTTAATTAGTTTGTAATTTGTATTCCACCTTCTTCCAAAAAGAAATTGAAATCATTAGCAATAAAATTGCATATCATTTATGGTATAAACTGAAGGCCAAAAATCATAATGATAATTATAAAGATGGAAAGGGCCTCAGATACATCATCCATTTGTGATGATTGTGCTAAGAGGACGGTGGGTGTCTGAGTAGCTGAAAGAAGAGGAAAGGTCTTATTCCCAATTTAATTCAACCCTCAGATATATGAGCTCTAAGAATGGATAGAGAAATAACAGTCAAAATAATAACCTCCTCCAAACGCATTTGGTTTTCATTTTTAAGACAGAGCAGATTTGCTTTCCATATTATATTTTGCTTAAACTAATATGAAAATGATTTTGCTTGTCCTTGAAATTCATCTACCAGGTATTGGGGGGATGGACAAGGGTTTCCTTGGCATGCTTAAAAAAACTATCCCAGGTGTTTCTCAGAGTGGATCATAACCCTAATCATTGACAAGCGATTTTCGTGCTAAGCAAATCTTATCTGGGGTAATGTACTTCATAGTATGAAAATAGTAATGTTCTGTTTCTGTCCCTGTCTGTCCAGGTGTGGAGACATGATCGTGGCTGTAAATGGCCTGTCAACTGTGGGCATGAGCCATTCCGCATTAGTTCCCATGTTGAAGGAGCAGAGGAACAAAGTCACCCTGACAGTTATTTGTTGGCCTGGCAGCCTTGTGTAGATTTTTGGAATTGGTTTTGAGTCTTGCGTCTTCCTTTTTTTTTTAGGTTTGTGAAAGAAACCCCTTTTATTTCATTGTGTTTCTGGTTGTTAGGAGCTGCTGACACAGCTGGTATACATGGGCCAAAAACCACTAAGATTATCCGTGTATGTTTATTTAAATGTTTTCCTAAATTTAGTTAACATTTCTTTTAGCTTGGAAATAGTCTTCCACTAACCCTTATGAGTTTATATTTTCAGAATTCAGACTCACAGTTGTCAAACTATTGCATGTAGTAATGAGCGAAGTCCACCCAAACTGTGACCCAGCCAGCTGGAGTAGGGAACTTCTGGCGGATCTTTGTTTCAATGCCTGAATCGTAGAATGAGTTATGTATCTCCCAAGACTGGTGTCAGTGAAGCCGGCAACAGCAGCCTGTACCGCCATTGTTGTAACCAATGCCGTGAGTGGATACATTTTAAATTCAGGTGATAAACGTTCCCCATTTTTCATCGGTGCCAACATTTCAACACTTCATCCTGTTTATAAAGTGATTTTCTGGTTTGTTTTATTTATACTCTAATCTCTCAATACTAATAGAAGATGAAGAAGTAAGTCTGACACCACTACAGAGATGCTTTTTAAAATAATGTACTATTATTAGAATAGTAGAGAATAAAAGATACTGTTATCTAGTGACAGAGGAATTTGGACAGTAATTACAGTTTAGTGCTGGAGATGGTAAAAGCTGCATTTACTTGAACAGTTCAAAAGCATTAAAGATCCATTTCCAAAGGAATGTTTTGCTATATAGGAAAATTTTGAAGTAATTTTTGCTAAAAATCATTTCTAGAGTTTGTATTATACTTATCAGCAATCTTGGCTGGAAATGTTTTTGTGATTTATGCAATTAAACTAGATGATAAAGATAAAACCATATTGCTATTAAATACACAAATATATATCACAGCTAAGTAGGACAGGGGAGATCTTTTTATTTTATTCAGATAGGAGTCTTTCTTGAATGTTTTAGGAACCCTCATATTTCCCATTATTTCTTAGGAACATAATTGTTTCAAGTTAGAGACTGAAAAGTTCTGTTTTTATCTAAAATAGTAGGTTTTAGATGTTAGTATCTTTTAATCAGCTCTTGGTCACTAGACTATTTCATATTTTTTTGAAATGTTTTTGAAAACTATGACTAGCCCATTTTGTTTGTCCTCAATTCAACATGGTTATCTTTTGGAAAACACATAAGTGAATAAGAGAAAAATATCTTTACCGTATTAATATTATGCATACTTGAAAAAAGTTTCATTTAGAAACCTAGTTCAGAATCTGAGCTAATTTACAAGTGACCTCTGTAATAAATGGTATTGATAATCAGAGAATGTATTTCAAAATACTACAGTACAGTATATTATGAAGCATGACCACTTTCAAGCTTAGCAATTGCATTGCTGGAGTTTATTGTATCTGTAGCATGTCACTGATTACTTCAGTTCCTTTTGTAATGAGTTTTTAAAACATATCTCTTTAGAATAAGTAAGATATGGCAACAATAATTGCTATTGACTTGTTCAACCCCTTAGCTACACTGTATGTTCAACATATAACCAAGATACAGTGGAATGCCCCATACAGTACATTACTGTTATGTGACGGTCGGCTTTGGAAGCAATTTGATATTTAAATGCTTTGATATTCTAATTGACATGGAACAAGTTGTTTTCTGCTCCCCAAATAGAATTTTGTAACCAACTTTGCTATTTTTTTAAAGTTTGTAAGGATGTGTCATTTCTTGGGGGGGGTAGCCATCCATCAGCAAATATCCTAACTGCTACTTTGTTGCATGTAAAATACTTACATTGAACCCAGTGGCATAGTGAGTATTTTGAAAGAAGAAAATTTTTTCAATATTATTTTTATCATGAAAATCTTGGAATCAGCTTCAGCTGTAGCCTTTATGACAAAAGACTGTCATTTCTGGTCAGAATGATATTTGGTGATGGAAACTTGTTCATAATTTATTGTTACTGTAGAACTATTTGGATTTTCTCATTTTAAGCTCTGATAGTTAAATATCTTGATTTGTTCTGTGCCTTCAGTTTAAATTATTTCAGGATTTTCCAGACGTGTTTAAATAATGGTGTCATAATAATTCAGGATGGAAATAAAAGTCCTCCTTTCCATTACAGCAACATGTCTCCTTCCTTGAACAGCATACATTGTTGGCTCAGTCTGTTCCTTATTTTTGTTGGTGGCACCACTGTACTTACAGTAAGCCAAGCTCAAAACCTCAGGATCACAAGTCCACCTTCTCATTCTCATTCCTGTAGGCAGAACATAGAAATCTATACTTTTGGGATCTTTACCTGCAGAGTACCTCTAGACCTGTGTTGTCTAGTATGCGTGGCAGTTGAGTACCTGGAATGTGGCTGAAACGATAATATCTTGGATACATTGGGTTATATAACATATATTATTAAAATTCACTTCCGTTTCTACTGAATTATAGATCTTTCTGTTCACTTAGTTACCCTTGAATTTCTCTTTCTGCATATTTAACATAAATCTCAACTCACTCAATAACTCCATCCTCCCCCTGCACAGTGTGAGAGCCTCGGGTGCGAGACCTCCATCCACCCCGTAGTCCAACTTGGTGGCCAATATTGTAGCTGTTCCTTGTTCTCCTCTCCAGGTAGCCACTATTATAATTGTTATATACTGTTCAGGTTTGGTTAGATTTTGTTTCTGAACTACAAAATACTGACAGGCACTGGCAGACACAAGCACAGTTCATGATGGTCCTTAACATTACAGCAACATCCCACAAAGGACATGTGGGAAACAGAAGGCCAGAGTGGGATTAACGGCAACTCAGACAATCTAGAGGTTGAAGTTGCGGTCCAGGTGGAAGGAAAGAGTTCATAAAAGCTTGGGCTGCGGCAGCATCGTCACCGTCACATTGCCAGTTTCCAAGCAGTCTGGGAGTCACTAAGCCAATTTGCCATTTTCTGGGAGAGCAGCTCGGCAAAGATCACTGTCACCAACTTTTCTAAAATAAGTACAACTTGCATTATAAATCCAGAGACATGGTTTTGTAGGAAAAACTGGAAGGCAGATTTAGAGTGTTCAGTTTTCTCAGGATGCAATAGCCGACTCCTCCTCCTCCATCCTAGCTGTTGCTCTTTTCTCACTCAAGACCCCGAGGTCTGCTAATTCTATTGCCACAACCACAGAACTTGATATCCATTTTTTATTTTTTTTGTATATTAAAGTGGGCTGTAGCTTTATGACTCTTCAGATGCTTGAAGCTTTAATCAGATAAATGGATGGTTAAAATTAAATTTGAAATTAACCTGAATTTCAGCTTCTAAGGGTACTTCACCCAATTCATCATGCCCCCCACCCATGTTAGAGTATAGTAACGCCTCATTAAGTCAGACTTTACTAATTTGGAATTTGAAAAGCTTAAACAGAATTGAGGTTCACTTGGCATTTTATGTAAGCAATAAGTATCCTAAATCAACATGAAAAAAAGGAGGGTGGGGTGTTTTAAGCTGCAGGCTAACGTTTATTATTTTCAAGTTTCCTTAAGCACTTGAAAATGCTCATGTCCATTCAAGTGATTGATACATTTCTTTCCCGTGTAGTTGTTTAAACAAGAATTGACCACCATTTGCACAACATACAGTGAGAGGCTCTAGATTCCTTCTTCACAACACCTAATTTCATCTTTCTTAATTCAGATTTTCTTCCATCTGTCCACATTTGGTGATAAAACCATATAGATTACACCAACATAGCAAACTGCTGTCCTAGCCACAGACTAGGAATTCATGAATTGAGCTCTTTCTCTCAAGTCTCTCCTCTTTGCCTGCTGAAGGAAACATTTCAGCTCCTCGGGGTCCTTATTAGAAAGCTCTTTTGCCATTTGATGGTGTAAATCTATTCCATTTAACTGTACTACCAATTAATTTCTATGGCAACACAAAAGCTCTTAGAAGTAAAGTTGTACGTGTAAGCGCAGTGCTAATAGCTATAAAGTGCCTAAGTTAGAGATGCTAAAACTTTAATCACATGCAGGAATAAAAGACTAGCGCTTGGAGATCTAACACCATCCCTCAGATGGCAGAGAACCTGCCTCCCACCAGGGGAAGGTGGCACAGCCCCAGTGGCTGAGTGGGGAAGCACTTAAAGATTTCCATTTGAGCTCTGTTAAATCGCTCACCTGCAAATAATGCTTTGAAGGTGGGCTATATTCACAGGCTTGGATCCGTACTCCCTTGTTTCTTCTAAGGTTCTCGGTTAAAGGTGAATCCCCCAACAACCTCCTTCCTTGGATTGCCTGAAGACTGGCCACCAGTGCTTAAGTGAGAAAACATCTGTGGCTGAGACTGTTGGAAAAGGAGCAACAGTGAATTGTCCAACGTCAAGGTTGTGAGAGTGGAGGCAGCTATTAAAGTTCTTTTTTATTTTGCCTCCATTTTATTGAAAGATCTTCTCTCACCCATCTACTCTAGAAATAATGGGAGACTGTCTCAGGCCATGGATGTGTTTAGTCACATACCTGCGACTGCCAGCCTCTCCCACGAGCACACCCTGCCAGGAAGCGACACACCAGAATGGTTTGTAGATTTGCCCTCTGCGCCTCTCCAGGCCTCAGAGCTGGAGTCCGGGATCCCCACCGGGCCTCTTGAAGGCTGTGGGGTCCCAGCCTGTGCTGAGGTAGGTGGGCACCTGTGAAGGGTGGTGGGTGCTCCCAGCTGCAAAACTCACTCTGTGGACAATCACGAACATCTAAGGAAAAGTTCTTGATTCTCATGGAACTGTGACCAATGGGTGACAGCCCCGACCAACGCTTCTACTCATGAGCACTCGGGAAGAAGGTAGCAGTGGGGTAGCGGGTTAGTTCCCTGCTGACTAGAGCCGGGCATCGGACCCCTGGGAGCTGGGGTGACCCCTGCTCGGCCTCGCCGGGGGACCCTTTGGTTAACTGGGCCGCGCTCTAGCGCCCTCTGGTGGCCGGATGGGGGCCACCCTCCCTGACGTCTCCCCACGGTTTGCAGCTGGTGGCTCCCAGGGGAGGTCACGCATATGAGGGGAGTGGGTCTGTGCCACTCCTGTGTGGTATGGTATGAAAAGCTGCCACGTTGGAATAAAATCGAAAAGCAAAGTGTGCAAACACTGCCGACCTTCCCCGTGGCCATTTCTCTGTCCCTGAGTAACTAAGACGGCAATTTGCCTTGTTCCTTACATGTGAGTTGAGCTTCTATGGTATAGGGCTCTTTGAATGTCAATGTTATTGAGGTTTTGGTAATTATGCACCCTCAAAAGATGTTCAATGTAATTCTGATCATAGTCCTCTAAAAAAGCCTCAGATTAAAAGCTTTTGCTGGCTCTTTAGACTGTGGGCCTGCAATTATAGAAAATGAACTGCATTTTAGCTTTCCATTGAAATTAATAACAGCGGTCCCCCAGTTGACTCTGTGAATAGTTAATGGAACAAACAGGATACTTCAGTACAATATGGGTTGGAAAGCCATTTGAGTGGGATTCTGGGTTTCAAATGGGAAAATAATTCATACAATGCAAACCTTTTTCATATGTACTTCGTGCAGTAGGCATTTCTTCGGGATAAAAACTGAACTATTTAACAAATGATTAACCGTACCTCAGTCAGCGTGTACTCTGATGGTACATAATCTGGCACATGGTATCAGAGCTGCGAAGCACCTTAGAGGACAAGGTGGATTGGACAGTGAAGAAACGCATGTTCAGTGAGGCTGAGCTTTCACCCCAGACACTAAGCTGGCAAAGGACAGAGACAGACGTGGAACCCCGTCTGCTGACCCAGAGCCAAGAGAACCCTGGCGCAGGGCCCTGTGGAGCAGACCGGCAGCACTGACAAGCGAGCCGCTCCTAGAACTGGACCTTTAGCCTCCTGGCAGCGCAAAGATGCCTTGTGAGTTGGGAAATCTTTGGATTCTCAGGACATTGGGGTTGGGAGGTAGGGGGACAAAAGAATGTATGGCCCAGTGTGCTCTCTGGGGTTCCCACTTCAGTTTATAAGAATAAAGTCTAAAAAGCAATTAAATAATATTTCAGAATTCAGCAAAGTTGCAGGACACAAAATCAGCACACTAAAGTAATTGCATTTCTAGACGCTAACCATGAACTACCCAAAAAGCCAATTAAGGGAAATAATTTCATTTGCAACGGCTCTAAAAAGAATAAAATACCTAGGAATAAAGTTGACCAAGGAGGCAAAAGATGTATATGCTGAAAACTACAAAATATTGCTGAAAGAAATTCAAGAAGACATTGGTAACCAGAAAGACATCCCTGTTCATAGGTTGGAAGGTTAGTATTGTTAAGATGTTAATACTACCCAAAGCAATCTGCAGACTCAATGCAGTCTGTGTCACAGTCCTCATGACATGTCTGCAGAAATAGAAAAATCCATCCAAATATGGAGTCTGAAGGGACTCGGAATAGCCAAACCTATCTTGTAAAAGAAGAATAAAATCTCATACTTCCTGATTTCAAACTTACTGCAAAGTTACAGTAATCGAAATAATGTTGCAGATTGAATAGACGTGCTGACCAAAAAATAAACTCCAATATGGTAATGTAATAACATAAAGACAGACCTATAGACCAATGAAAGAGAATAAAGAGCCCAGAAATAAACCCTTGAGTATATGGTCAAATGATTTTTAATAAGGGTGCCAAGACCACTCAATGGGGAAAGGACAGTCTTTTCAACAAGTGGTGTGGGAAACTGGATATCCACATGCAAAAGAATAAAGCTAGACTGTTACCTTGTGCCATATAGAAAAGTTAACTCCAAAATCTACATATAACAGCTAAACTATAAAACTCTTAGTACAAGCAGGAGAAAAGCTTCCTGGCAATGATTTCTTGCATATGACACCAAATGATAGGCATCAAAAGAAAAAAAAAGATGATTTGGTCTTCATTGAAATTAAAAACTTGTTCATCAACAAACATTAACAAAGGCCAGGCGAGGTGGCTCATGCCTGTAATCCTAGCACTCTGGGAGGCTGAGGCAGGCAGATCACTCAAGCTCAGGAGTTCGAAACCAGCCTGAGCAAGACCGAGACCCCCATCTCTACTAAAAATAGAAATTAATTGGCCAACTAAAATATATAGAAAAAATCAGC